CGAGTGTCGCCTATGAAGGGCGTGATGAGATTTGGGAAGAAGGGCAAGCTTAGCCCTAGGTTCATTGGTTCGTTTGCGATTCTTGATCGAGTGGGAGGGGTGGCTTATAGACTTGCATTTCTGCCGAGTTTATCAGTCGTGCATCCAGTGTTTCATGTGTCCATGCTTCGGAAGTATCACGGCGACCCATTTCACGTGTTAGATTTCAGCACTGTCCAGTTGGACAAGGACTTGTCTTATGAGGAAGAGCCGGTAGCCATTCTAGACCGGAAGGTTCGTCAGTTGAGGTGGAAGAGTTTTCCTTCTGTTCGTGTTCAGTGGATAGGTCAGCCTCGTGAGGCATCGACCTGAGAGTCCGAGTCCAATATGCGGAGCCGTTATCCCCATCTTTTCCCCGACTCAGGTACTTCCTTCTTCTGTCCGTTCGAGGACGAACAGTTGTTTTAGAGGTGGAGAATGTGATGACCCCAAATCACTTTCTTTAAATCAAATTCTGTGTTCTGAGGCCTTGAAAAACCTTATTTAGAGTCACCTCGATTTGCGCGCACAGTCCGGGTGCGTAGCCAAAAACTTAAATATGAAATTCTGTAAAAATGATAAAATTTAGCTATAAAATGGGTTAATTTGACTTCGGTCAAAATTTTAGGTAAACGGATCCGGACCCGTGATTTGACGGTCTCGGAGGGTTCGTAAAAAAATATGGGACTTGGGCGTATGCCCGTAATCGAATTTCGAGGTCCCAAGCCCAAGAAATGAATTTTTTTAAAAGAAATTATTTTCTGAAACTGTTTAAGAAAAATTGAAATGAAATTTGCTTAGAACATGATGGTATTGGGTCCATATTTTGGTTCCGGCGCCCGATACAGGTCTTATATATGATTTAAGACGTTTCTGTGAAATTTGATGAAAACCGGAGTTTATTTGACGTGAATTGGACTTCTGGTTGAGGGGTTATGGACTTTGAGAGTTCTTGATGAAAATGTTAAGTTTTGAGGTTTAATTCTTGATTTTACATGTTATTTTGATGATGAGATCGCACGAGTAGGTTCATACGATGTTTGAGTTAGTATGCACACTTGGTTTGGAGTTCCGAGGGCTCGGGTGAGTTTCGAGTAGGTTTCAGGATGTTTAGGCTTAAACCCAGAAGTTGCAGGCCTCTGAACCCACCAGTGCGGTCCGCAGTCGATCTTGTGCGCTGCGTGGTGGAGGCTGTGCGGCCGCGGTCGACTTTGTGCGGTCTGCACAGGGCGCTGCTGTGCGGCCGCAGTCGACTTTGTGCGTTCCGCACAAGGCACTGGACCGCAGTAACCTCAGGAAGGCCTGTGCGGCCGCAATCCATTTTGTGCGGTCCACACAAGGGGTCTGAGAGGAGTATAAATAGACGGGATTTTCAGTCATTTTTCATTTTTCAAAACCCCAAAAACGTAAGAGGCGATTTTTCAAACAACCTTTCTTCTCCAAATCAATTGTAAGTCATTTTTAACTAGTTTTCTTCAATTATTAACATCTTTTAACGTGATTTCAACTTCAAATCAATGAATTTCATGAGGGAAATTGGGTGTTTTGGATAGAACCTAGGTTTTTCAAAAGTTGGGGATTTGAATCTCGATTTGATGTCCGATTTCAAAAAAATTATATATTTGAGTTCGCGGGAGAATGGGTAATCGGGTTTTGGTTCGAACCTCGGGTTTTGACCATGTGGGCCCGGGGGAGATTTTGACTTTTGGGTAAAATTTTGGAAAATCCATTCTTATGCATTCAAATTGATTCATTTAGTATTTATTAATATAATTAAGTAACTTGCGGCTAGATACGAGCGAGTTGGTGATGGAATCAAGGGGTAAAGCGATAGTTGATGCTTGAATTGCGTTCGAGACATCGAGGTAAGTGTCCGGTCTAACCTTAGCTTGAGAGATTAGGAGTTGAGTCTTATTTGCTATTTGCTTCTTGTTGAGTACGACGTATATGCATGGTGACGAGTATCTATACGTTAGTGTCAAGCATGATCGTGAGTCTTAAATTGATACTTGTTGTAATCTTGAATGTTACTATGGTTGAAATAGTGAGTAAATCCTTTATATTGAGCAAAGACTTAGTTTGTTTATCGTGGAATCTACTTATGATTGAGAAATGGTGGTAATTGAGACGAGTAGGAGTTGAGTTAGGATTGGTTATAGCTGATTCTCCCTTTCCGGGACGTATATACTTGTACTACTGAGTTCCCTTGCCGGAATAGTGTAGTCTATTGTTGATCCCTTGCCGGGACGGTTAATTATGATTATTGTTGACTGTATAATTGGAACGGGTTGCACGCCGCAACAGATATTATATTGGATCGGGTTGCACGCCGCAACAATGTTAAATGATAAGGGATTGGGTTGCGCGCCGCAACAGTTTTGTTATTGTATTGTTGTAGATATTGAGTTGTCCTTTCATATTTTCTTAAGTTTATGTTGGTCTTGATATGTTTCCCCGAAGCATGTACCCCCTCCCATTTTAAACTGCTTATTCCTGTTTATTTTCTGCCATATATTATATAACTGCACAGGTTTATCTGGAGTCTGGTCCTAGCCTCGTCACTACCTCGCTGGGGTTAGGCCAGACACTTACCAGCACATGGGGTCGGTTGTGCTGATACTACACTCTGCACTCTGTGCAGATATCGGAGCGACACTTGATCAACAACAATAGGGGAGCCAGCCTTCAGTCTACCGAGATACCGAGGTAGCCTTGCAGGCGTCCGCAGGCCCGACGTCTCCTCTACCTTTTATTATGTTCTGTTATCTCATGTATCCGAGACAAACAATGTTATTTTTCCTTCAAACTGTTGTATGTAGTACTCTTAGTAGTCCGTGGATATTGTGACACCAGTTTATGGGTAGAGGCATGTGTTAGACTTTCAAAACATTTTGGTTTTATATTTATTTAAGACTTCCGCTTAAATCTCATATTCCGTTGTCATTTAGATGTTTATCACTTGTTAATATAAGTTGTAAAAAAGAGAGGTTAAAACAGAAGGGTTAAAGATTTCTAAGTTCGTGGCTTGCCTAGCTTTTACGAGTAAGCGCCATCACAACTCCCGAGAGTGAGAAATTCGGGTCGTGACAATATTTATATTACAATTGTAAAGGACCCCTACATCTAAAGGAATGAAAAGTGCGTAAAATATAAGCATGCCAAAGAAAAGATAGAAAACAAAAAAGGGACTACTAAACCTAAAGGAATCGAATGTCGCAGACTTTACCAACATAATGTGATATTTTTTTTTTCTTTAAAAAATTATTTTCATTATATAGTTTAAATAAGGAAAGATTTAATGCATAAAATTTGATTGATTTGAAGTCCTAAATATTAGGAAAATAATTCAATATCTATCACTAAATATTAGATAGAAACTTAAATGACTATATCCAGTGTGAAATTAGATTTTAAAGGGTAAAAAAGATGAACGATATTTCGCTAAGGGCCTTCGTGCTTTTAATATANAAATTAGTTTGGGTTCAAACATAGTTGTTTAGTTCATTTTTTTTAATGTTTTAGATATTTTCTTATTATAAAATTTTGTATTTTTGTATAGTAGTAATACTTTCTATGTATTATCAAAGTACGTAAGTTTTGCTATAAAATAAAACTGTATAGCCGCTATAAAAATAATAGCAAAAAAAAATATTTTTTTATATATATACATTCTATATGTTATGCATAAAAAATATACAAGTTTTATACACTTTTTTAAATACCAAATATAAATAGTTTATGACGCGAACTAAAAGTGATAATACCCCTCTTGTGATAGGCGGACAAAGCGTGACCACTGAATCTCAGTTTGATAACTCACATACCAATGGATGTATCACAAGCTATTTAGGGGTCGTTTGGTAGGATGCATTAGATAAAATAATGCATGCATTAGCTTTGTGTATTAATAATACCTTGTTTGGTAGACATTTTGAACCTATGCATTAGTTATGCAAGCATTAGTTATACATCCTATTTGGTATTATCCTATGCATAACTAATGCATAGAAAATAATGGTATTAGCAATGCAATGAGTTTTAATGCGTGCATTAGCTTAGTTAAAGACAAAATTGTCCTTCAACATTTATGCTTGATTAAATTATGCTAGTTATTATATTGATGGAAGTTTAAAATAATCCAAATAGTGAGAAATAAAATTATAGCTCTAGTAAATAAATAAATACTTAGCATATTTCCTTTTTTATATATAAATATTTAGTTCTATTTTACAATATAGGTAGACAAATTAAATAATTTTTTTAAAACTTTTTCATATAAAAATATTTCTCAACATATGTTTCATTTAGAAAGTTAAAGTGATGGATTGGTTTTGAGGGCATTTTTGTAAACAAATAATTCTTTTAGAAATTGCACAATGCTTTAATATATCAAACCAAACAATGGATAAGAAATATGTCACCATAACTAATACCAGCATAACTAATACCAACATTACTAATACACCCTATTCAGCATTATTCTTATGCACCCTACCAAACGACCCCTTAGAGCAAAAATAGTGATGATGATTATATTCCACAGTTCCATAGCTCACACAATTTAGAGATTTCACAAGGTTGGAATAATAAAACAATTCTAGTTATCCTTTATGCAGTGCTACGTACTGAAACAATCTGGGAGTTGATGGTGGTTAGTTTGCCAAATTACAACCACCACCCAGTATAATCCCACAAGTGGGGTCTGGGGAGGGTATGATGTACGCAGTCTTACCGCTACTCTGAAAGGGCAGAGAGACTGTTTCCGATAGATCCTCGGCTTCAGCTTAAAAAGCATTACACACTTTTTATTACGTAGCTAAACTGACATGCGACAGAGGACTTCATGCAATTAGAGTGAGATCCTCAACTCTTGATGAAAAAAGTGCTTTAAATTGCAAAGACTACTACCCAGAACAAACTTCCCTATGGTGCAACTAACAAAAACGGAGCAAATTCATGTAAAGGTGGTGTTAACTCAAAATCTGAATCAGTATCCCCAAGTATTTTATTCTAACAGGAATCAGCCTAGCAAACAAGAATAAGCAAAAACAAGGGGAAAAAACAACTTACCGCTTCCTAGAAACAAACCAACTGTACATATGGAATTTAAATCTGTTAACTATGGTATCTCAGTCACAAAGATAGCTATTTTCTTCTTCACTTTGATGCAGACTACGTGAAAGTTTACGTCACTTTGAGCTCTTATTTTCTGTTTTATATTTTTGAAGCTCTTCTTGAGCAACCAATAGCCTACATATCAAAGAAACAGAAGCTTCAAGACCACTAGATATAATTGCCGGCATAAACTTGCAATATTAAGGTATAATCATCGTACCTCAACCGTAAATCATTATTTTCACGAATTAGTTCCTTCTCCCTGTCAAGAGCTGCCTCCAACTACGAAGAAAGAGAGAAGGATGTCATATAGTATGTTGGATCCCCCAAAAAATTAAGGAAACAGAGAAATTACAGAATATTAACTCCTGGTTTGAGAAGCCAAATTCAATTAAATAGTTGAATTTGCAGAGGATGTAGCAACAAGATTAGCACAAATCCTTACCAGTGATTTCTCCACTCCAACTGAATTTGACGGAATGCATCCCAAATCCACTGAACCGTTAGCTGAACAGATTAAGTGAGACCAGATCATATGGAAAATATAAACGTGAAATCAAGACGCATTAATTGCCACACCTGTGGAGTCACCACGGGTCACTTGCCTCATTGCACTAAGAATGCTCTCCTGTTAACAGTAAAAACAGTTTTTACAAAGTATAAGAAGAAAAGAAAATCCTAGCAAGATGATTGTTTTAGATCCATTCTTACTGTTCCAGTAATAGTTGCCTGTAAAGCGTTTTGCAGTAGTGGAAATATGGACTGGGAAGAAAGATTTGCTGGTGTAGCATCAGGTGGTAATGGTTGAGTAGTAGCCAGATGTTCTGGAGTCACCTACATGATCCATAAATTCTTTCGATAAGTACAATAGAAAATGAAAAAGAAAAAAAGAGGGGAAGAGATCAGTGGTTTAGTAGACTAGATTTAGAATTAGCAACTTGGATTATTTTTTTAGTCCTTTATCTCTTTGTTTCTGATTCATCATACAAGCAGTTTGCATACTCTACCACCGCATCACTAACTCAATCCCAAAGCTCAAATTCAAAAATATTGCATAAACAATTTGAGTCGATGATATGAAACATCTCTGAAAAATGAAATAAATGTAATAGTAGTATAAGTGAAGATTCGTGAACAGAAGTACTTGTCACTGATGAGAACAACGTTAACTACTATAGCGCTCAAATGATATGCTTGAAACAAAGCCTAGCAACACAGTACTTGTCAATGATGAAAACGACATTAACCACTACAGAGCTCAAGAGATTCTTGCATTTACTTTGAACATCCACTAAGAAGAGACACAAATGATCACATATACCATCTCAATTTTTACAAGCTGAGAAACTATTTTTAGAGAAAGCAAAAGAGATAAAGAGAGAGAGGGGCAGGGGTGACACTGTCGAAAACCACCTCCAAGCTGTGGCTCTTTTGTAGCATAAAATGAACTTACCTGCAGAAACACACAAGAAATGATTCCCCAGTTTAGGGGAAATTCAGCATCATTATCAAGACAAAAGTTAACCGCCAGACATTCACCTTTTCCACATCAACATTCTCAGAGGTAACTTTGAATCGTCCTCTCTGCTGAACGACCTGATACTTAGTCTTCTCATCAAAATCTTCACTGCTACCGGCTAAATACAGTCTTGATTTAGCAAGCAAATATTAAACCAATGAATGCAAATGTACTCGGATTAAAGTGTATGTTTATAAGATAAAAGATACATGTTGTATCATTATAACTTGCCTGAAGTTCTGGAGGGTTTAATGAATATTTCAGCTGGCAAATCATCTGATGTTTGAGGAAAAGCCACATTGCAACTGGAAATATTTTGTGATGAACTTTTATCCCTAAACACAGAAAAGAAAAGACAATTCTAGAAAATCTGCAAAAAAAGTGGCATCACAAAAACATGGTTGCTTGACAAACTAAAGAAACCAGCAATTAAGCACACGGGCAATGACTTCAAGCAAAAGGAAAATAAGAAATCAATTTACTCAATTTTTATATTTGAAACAATTTCGCAATCACAAAAGCATATTAAAAGAATTTGATTAAAGAAAACTGCAAATAAATCGTCCCAGGCATGTCATTCTTTTACATACTTAATTGCCTGAAAATTGGTGATTTAGCAAAGAACTAGCTTTAGTCCAAAGATAATCAGTCCAAAAAGTAGTCCGAGTTTCAGTCTAGCAAGTGCAGACTACTTGAACTGAAAATTTTCTGATCTTTTAAGAGTTCGGTTCACTCAAATGGCCTCCGATTTGCTATCTAAGCTAGATCAGTAATTGGTTAAACCTTCTTTTTCATTGTTCACGATATCCATAATTATTTACTAACATGTACTTCGTTTTACTAACATTGGCTCAATAAACTTGGGATAGACATTTATTTGTGACAATCACAAGGCTTGATGATGTCAGAGAGATCGAGACCCACAAGCATCACAAGGAGTTGATGGTAAGACATTATAACAAAAGGGATATAAAATAAGGAACAAAATGCACAAGCCAGCCATACACTGCAGAATTTCCTGATGTTGGAGAGAGCAATTTAGAGACCATATTTCATTTCCTTTTCTAAAAGGGAATGAAAAATCCAATAATCACTTCTATCCTCTATTAACAAAATTAAGGCAGAGTACGATGTCCCTGCCAGTTCAAATGTCTTTTGCTGAGAGCAGAATCCCAGTCAAAAGTATTTATTTGGAGGAATAAAAGGCTGATTTTATTTAGTAAGTCCAGAAAAATAAAATGCTGAATGCTGGTATTGTGCTACTACATAAGGTTTAAAGTTCACATGGAAAACGTTTAGCATCCTTCGACAGGACATAAGCCATCTCGGCAAAATATCCAAGAGTTTTTAAGAAAATTGAGATCATACCTTTGACAAGAATTTATGGGAATGCCTTCAAATGCTCCTGCATGAGTCCCGTGTTCACCTTTTCCCACCACATTCATCTCCTCATAGCATGGAGAAGAATTTTGTGACATTTGAGCATCTTGAATTGAACTAGCGATGCTTAAATCATCATCAAATTTCTCGTTTTTAGCTCTGAAAAGTAGAAATAGGCATAATCATCTTAGCAAAAGTAATAATGACACTGTATAATATAAATCTGTTAGGTCCTTTGGATTAGGAGAAAAACATGATACAAGAGCAATTGATGAGACCTCTCAGCATCAGATTTCTTACTTGCTATAAGTCATGGTGCGGTCGGCAGGCGAAGGAGGGGCAGATGGATTGTCATCTTCCTGTTGAGAGATGTATTATTAGAAGGAAAACCCCAAATTGCTCCCTATCATATAAAACCAAAGTGAACATCGACATACGAATCCTGTAGCATCTGAATTTTGACTTCCAAAGGAGAATTGATGCTGAAATTTTGGAAGTTGTAGAGAAGATAACTGATTTTGAAGCCGGTTTCCTTGGTTGTCAAGTCCTGGGAGTGAATTTGTACTCCCACCTTGGTCATTCTCACCAAGAATTTCCTCATCTGGAATCTAAAAGTAAAAGAGGGAAAAAAGGTATTGTTTGCAAACTAGTGTTCATATATCTAGCTTTTAGAAGAAAAAAAATCGACAATGGATAATCCCAATGAGAAATCGTCCCGCAGCAAGTTTCAACAACAACAACAACAACAACAACATATCCAGTATTATCCCATACTGTGGGGAGTCCCGCAGCAAGTTTCAAAGGTGAAAAATTAACATTTAAAACAATGATTAATTTGTCTTTGAGAAACCAAACATCGCTATGCCCTCTTCGCATCAGACAACTTTCTCATCAGAAAAGTAAAGCTAAAGCACATGTATTAAGATATTATTGGTACATGTGCAATTAAATATAGATTCAAATACCAGGGAAGCCTGTGCCTTTAAATCTTCAAGATTGAAGTTCCAGCTGCTAATCCCACGTTTATATTCATTCTGCACATGATGTTAAATCAGATTAAGGTTCAACTTATAATGTTAGAAAAGACTTTCAAAACAATGTACCTTAACTATAAGCCAACGAATGAGACAAATGGTAGGAATAAATACAATTTTAAGTTAGTTTCTTTTCTTTGCTTTTAAGTACAATTTTGATATTTCTTGTGTCATCTGCAAGATGATGTAGTTAAGTACTTTTCCTTTTTACCCTCTACTAGAAGCTGTATTCTTAGAACTAAAAATTTCTGGATTGAATGATCAAAAAATAACCTCCAAGATCAGAAAAGCCTTTCCAGTAAAGTGGCAATCCTAATAATATCATGAAGCTTTTTGCTGGGCTAACACGGTGGGGTATTGTTTAGCTTCCATGAAGTAAATCTATTGAAACTGTGCAAAATGATATTGTCTTGGGTACACAGCATAGCAAAATAATATGCATGCGAACTAAATATAATCCCTTAATCTCTTTTCCCAGCAAACTGCCAGTGTCCTGTTTTATGTCTAAGCCATTAAAAAGTATTACCTATATTCATTTGGTGTATATAATCTTGTCTATATGGCTAACCATTGTTTTCTTTCATTGTTGATCACCTTACTGTCTGGTTGTTTTTATTCTGCCTTTATATGGCTTTTTGGTACTGTCCCTTCTTGTCTGTATTTTCATTAATGGTGCTTATGCTTTCCTGAGCCGAGGATCTATTGGAAACAACCTCTCTATCCTCACAAGGTAGGGGTAAGGTCTGCGTACACACTACCCTATGTTGTTGTTGTATTTGGTGCATATAATCTAAACATTAGGGATGAGATGCAGGAAAAATTAATTGAACTGCATCAAACCAGTGACTCTAAGTTGTATGAGTTACCACTTCTAGTTTTGAATTTCTCCTTTTTGGTTTCTTCTACAAATTTGACAGACTTAAGCATTTCACATAGAAAGGGAATCATCTTATTGCCTAATGCATCCGAGCATATATATGTGTGTGGGAAAGAGAGAACAAGCAGGATCTGAGTACATGCTCTAGACAACGATATATATACCATCCATATAGTATCACGCATGCACGTCTAATAACCCTTATGATTATAAAATCACAAATTGCAGTTCTAATATATTATTCAGTATAGAGATATCAAATCATCAGAGTCTTCTTCTAGTAACGTTGGCTATGGTTATGGCACAGCAACCTGTGACATTTCTTCTTTCTGCCCATCTGGTATCTTCTTTTGCGCTAGCATGTCTTCTTCTTTTCTCTACAAAAAGAAAAGGTTCTTTTTACCATAGAAATATTGAGGCTGTATTATCATCTAGATGGAACATATATGGCTCCAACGAGAAGGGAAAAATTATGAAACCTTCAATTCTTTTATGCGATCACCAAGAGCTGGCAAGCCTTCCAACAATGTTCTTGATATATAATCACTGGACCTAGCTTGCTTAAAGAAAGGATGCTTCAACAATTTTTTGGCTGAAGGTCTTTTTGAAGGATCTTTTACCAAGCAACTAGCAATCATTTGCCTAAAGGACTGAGAAGAAAAAAAAAATTGCAAGCAGATGTTAGTGACATTTTTGGACTCTAAACACTAATGGTTTGAGAAATACCTTTGAGAACTTCTTGTCCCTCTCATAATCAAGGCCCGGTGGTGCATTTTGCAATGTCATTAGCAACACCTGCAAAGTGAAAAATATGCAATGCATTTATGGTCACAAAGGCCCCACCAGGAAAGCAAATTTAGGATGCACTGTCACTGTACCTTCATTGGAGGGTATTTTGAGAAAGGAGCATGCCCATGAGCAAGCTCTAGAGCAGTTATCCCAAAAGACCAAATATCAGCTCTGTGGGGAACCATTAGAAAATACATTTTTTAAAAAAAAAAAAAAAAAAAAAAAANGCAGGCCTTGCTCCCAAGACAAAGGTAAATTCTGATAACAAAGTAAAAAAATTTTTAAAAAAAAAAAAAAAAAAAAAAAAGACTTCCTACAGATAAAGTAAAATTAGGAAAAGCAGAATGTACGAATACACAGAAGTGTTACTTGCGATCATAACCATGCAATTGCTCCATGACCTCCGGTGCCATCCTGTAAAAGAAATGTAAATTATGGAGAAACATCTTGATATTTGAACCTGAACTTATCAATATTTTTAATGCCTAAGTTTCTAATGTGCATCGCTATAATATAAACAAGACTTCTTCAACGGTTATCACCTACTACATACATTACAAAAGCTAAATAGCAAAAAGAGAGAAGCAATCTCTGGGTTAAAGCATACCAACAGGGAGTTCCAACAAATGTGTTCCGTATTCGCTGCCTATCACCTGAATCAAACAAGTAGGCTGATACACCAAAATCTCCCAACTTTATTCCACCACGTGAATCAATGAGAATATTTCCAGCCTACAATAACCATACAGGTATGTTGATTTCAAGTTCCAAAAGTTATGGAAAAGTTATTGTCCTGTTCATCTGTCCATGCAGTTGCTAAACAACCAGGATGGATTAAGAATTTGTCCTTTGTTATATTTGCATGGGACGTAAAACACAAAAGATATCCTAAAGATTCTTCTTTGATACCATGTCCAAACTCCAAATCCTAAAATGAAATTAATTAAACAAGTTGCAATAGAAGTCCAATAGACACCTTATTTAATGCAGTGCAAGACTTCTACACTGAAGCCTGATGGATGAAGACATAATCTCATCAAATGCTTAAAGGATCGGCTGATGCGAAGAAAGTAGTAATGGCTTTATGTAACAGGTGGACTTACTTTGACATCCCGATGAATGTAGCCATGATCATGAAGGTATTCCAAACCCTTTAGCACTTCACGTAAGACTGTTGCAATAACCACCTCTCTGAGACCATCAGGATGAGCAGCCTTCAGTATGTGGAGACAGGAACCCCCAGCCATGTACGGCATGACAACCCAAAGATTTTGATCACATACAAAGGAGCAGTGTGATTTAAGAACATTGAGATGGTTAACTAGGACCATTATCTGTGCTTCCCGTGAGACGCGGTCCTGGATTAGAAATCAGCCAACTTGCTTCTTCATTTAATTGAAGTATCAACAACCACAATACGAACGAAATGATAATATCTGGAAACTTAGGCACTTTCGAGAAGTAAATAATTCATAGACTTACATCCGAAAATACAGAAAATGCATCACATTCAATCCTCCATTGCACGATGATGATAAGAACTCTATACTTATAGATTTCCAAGCTTGGATTAATGGATTCACCCCGAAAGCAAAGATCAAGGAGCTTTTTTCAAGATGATAATTGCAAAATAGAGAGTTTTTAGGAGCACAACTTAATCTAATTATGCTCTAAGATTACCTTTTTTTTGTTTCTCATCCGGTGTTTGATACACGCTTTGGGGCCTGACTAATCCTGATTCTTGTCGGAAAGTTCAGTTTGGGGATAAAGCGCTTCTTACCAAAGGCGAGTCTATTCCTATGGCTCAAACTCGAGACTTCTGGTTAAGGATGGAGTGATACTTACCACACTACCACAACCTTTGATCTCAATACTAACCACTGGTCCAAGATTATCATCTCAATATTAACTAGCAAAGATAAACTTTCTTTCGAAGTGGGAATATTAGCTGCTTCTACTAGGTATAGGATAAGTCATAAGGCTTATCAATCCCTTCTTCTGGGAAACAAAAAAAAAGCACTATTTTATAATAACTCAATTGAAAAGCTGATATGACTCTAACAATGAATATAAGACCTCTATTAAGCTATTTTCAGTACTGAAAACCCAAGCTACCAAAGCTCATTTAGTACTTCAACATCTGAAATATTGTGTATCAAGAATGAACCAAATAAAAACTATAACTAGTGTGGAGAGTGAAAAGTCTGACGTACATAAAAAATGGAACTTGGAGAAACCAAGGCCATAAGAAAATAACAAGCATCGATTTCAAATTGTTTTTCAACGTTAAGAATTAATCAACTGTGACAATTAAGGCCGTAAATACTAAATAGATAAAAAGAAGCTCAAAAAAAAAATGTACCAGATCACATTTATCACGCTCGAAATCTAGGATTTTGATAGCAACGATCTCATTGAGAGGATTACAAAGAGCGCGATGAACCAAGGCGCTAACTCCTTGCCCTATCTCCTCGTACAATGAGTAATATTCGGATCCAATTGGATACTGTATTCGCTTTTCGCTTGGCTTCTTTACTAAACTTTTCTTGTCCATTATTCAAACACTCTGTTCTTCGCTATTGCAAAACTCACAATCGCAGCATGCATGTTATCCACAGATCCGGATTCTACGTAAAAACAGAGAGTTTCATATCCAATGCAGACGAATTCAACTTTAAAGCCATTAAAATCCAAGGCCAGCTCTAGGGTATGAAGGCCATTGCCTTAGGCCCCAATTACTTAAGGCCCCAAATTTTTTTACTACTTTTTAAGTACTACTATAAATTTTATAATATTTATAATTATTAATAAAAGATTTTAAAATTTGGTAGAGGTAACATTGAGTGAGTTAATACAATTAATTTTTTCTCTCATTAAATTAAACTAGTCTTGTGCGGGTACTCTATTTCAATGAATATAATTTTTTTAAAATATTATATTAAAAATACAAAATAGTATAATTTAAAGGAAAAGTGATTTTTTTAAAAAACAATGATTGTTGATCATATTTAGCTAACTCAATAAATGAAAAAATTATGCCCCATAAATTTACTCAATCATTTCAGTCAATATTTCAAGTTAAATGTACTCCAAATTATATAATTTTATTATTTTAATTTTACAAATTATCAACAACAACAACAACATAACTAGTATTATCCCACACCATAGAGTCTGAGGAAGGTAGTGTGTACGCAGACTCTACCTACCTTGTGAGGATAGAGAGGTTGTTTCCAATAGACCCCCGACTCAGGAAAGCATAAACACCACATTAATAAAAATATAGACAAGAAGGGGCAGTACCAAAAAGCCATATAAAAGCAGAATAAAAAACAACAAGACAGAATGTGATCAACAATGAAAGAAAATAACGGTTAGTCATAAAAAACTACTACCAATAGAAAGCAAGATTGCATGACAATACTACTGTTATGAACACTCTTGACAACCTACTTTACTACCCTAATCCTCGACCTCCATACCTTCCTATCAAGGGTCATGTCCTCGGTCAGCTGAAGTTGCGCCATGTCTTGCCTAATCACCTTTTCCCACCTCTTCTTTGGTCTCCCTCTACCTCTATGTAGGCCCTCCAATGTCAACCTCTCACACCTCCTCACCGGGGCGTCTGTGCTCCTCCTCCTCACATGACCAAACCACCCAAGCCGCACTTCCCGCATCTTGTCCTCAATAGGGGCTACATCCACCTTGTCGCGAATAACCTCATTTCTGATCCTATCTAACCTGGTGTGACGACAAGTGAGGCTTGCTTAGTTGGTAAAGCACCTCGCCTACGACCGTTAGGTCCTGGGTTCGAGTCACGCTGGAGGAAAAGTACGGAAACACTATAGATCCTCCTAAATTGACAGGGATTTAAAAAAAACTGGTGTGACCGCAAATCCATCTCAACATGCTCATCTCTACTACCTTCATCTTCTGGATATGAGCGATCTTGACTAACCAACACTCAGCCCTATACAACATCGTTGGTCTGACCATCACTCTATAGAACTAACCCTTAACGGTGAGTCTCCATTTCATCCATCTCACTCCAATACGATTTGTGACATCTTCATCGATATCCCCATCCCCTTGAATAATAGACTTAAGGTACTTAAAACTTCCTCCCCTAGGGATGACCTGTGAGTCCAGCCTCACCTCTCATTCCCCTCCTTGAGTCTCGCCACCGAACTTACACTCCAAACATTCTGTCTTGGTCCTGCTCAACTTGAAACCTTTAGATTCCAGGGTCTGCCTCCATACCTTTAATTGCGCGTTCACAAATTATCATGTTTCTATTTATAATACTTTCTTTTTAGTCTTTAGGCATGCATTTTGTGTATGTATACTATATCAATGAGTACATAATTTTTAAATAATATTTAAAAAAAATTAAATAGTGTGCTTGGATAACAAAAATAAATTAAAAAGTACTATAAGTTTATGAAAATAATAAAATTTAATTTCATTTAGCTAGCTCAATAAAAAAAATATATTTATTATAATTTTTGGCGTTGTCGTCTCTAATTACCACAATTATCTTATTGTCTTTTATACTCTTAATCACTTTTTTGTTATTTTTTTTTTAATTGTTGACTGTAGTTTTTAAATTTTATGCAAAAAAAAAAAAAAGACCCCGTTTAAGAGAAAAATATCCTTTTTAAGGAAATAAAAATTGTACAAATATAATATCAACTAAATTATAGCCATGTTTACGTCATTCAAAATTCTCTGCTGCTTGCAAAATCCTAAATATCACGAGTTCCAACATAGTTCGAAGAAGAAGAATTTAATAAACAAGCGTTTAGTTAAGTGTCACGATCCAAAATTCACTGAGGGTCGTGAGGCGCCGGACACCGCTGTAGCCAACCAAAATACTTAATTAAATTCTTATCATAATAGTTTTGAAAACTGAAATTTTCCTTCAATTCAACTAGTAAAAAATAATCTTTGCAAAAGAAAAATAAATAAAAGAATATTTAGAAGTAAATGCAGAATACCCATAGTCATCCCAGAACCCGGTGTCACAAGTGCAGGAGCAATTTTTAGGAAATAATATAATCAACAACCGTCTGAAATACAATATTGGACAGAAAGTAAATACAGTAATCTGAAAGAGACTCTGCTGGCTGCAGGTCATCTCGAGAAGTGCAGCTCACCTAAGTCTCCGTATCAACCATGCTGCTACGCCCACTAGGCCACTAGAGATGTATGTGCCTGTGCAACAAAAATACACATCAAGTGTAGTATGAGTACGAAAACAACGTGTACCCAATGAGTATCCCGTCTAATCTCGAAGAAGTAGAGACGAGAGGTCGACTTCGACACTTACTGGTGGTCAAATAATAATAATTGTAAAAATGGGAGGAGATCATAAATTTTATAAAGCAATTATAAACTCATAAAGCCGGATAATAGGTAAACAACTTCTCAAATAATAATGGGTTCCAAAGATTTACTTTTCATCATCTTTTATCAATTTATCTCCGGCCAAGAAAGACAAATATCAACATTTATAATTCTCAGGAAAACAATACAAGCATGCACATATCATGTCGAGGTCGTACGACCCGATCCAACATAAATGTAAAATGTGCACTGCCGAGGGTCGAACGACGCGAACCATAGATGTATCTATTACCCCGCTCGCGAATCATACATGCGGCGCGGTCGAATTTAAATAAACAATTATCCTGCTCGCGAATTATACATGCGACGCAGGTACACATAGTAATACATACTCAAACAGCCAATTAAGAATTTAACGGGGAACATTTATCCAAATAAAAGCCAATTCTCTTTTAACGATTTAAGAAAATGAAGTTTAATCCTTTTAGAAATTCATTTACCAATTCGATAAGATTTAAGCAATTCAACTGTCAAAAAGATTACAGATATTCCAAGTATAGCATGCTTTTGGGTCCTAGACTATCCGGATTTACACATATTAGTAGCTACGCACGGACTCTCGTCACCTCGTGCGCACGTAGCCCCCACAAATAGGAGCACATAACCAATTATTTCACCTATGGGGACAATTCCTTCTTACAAGGTTAGAAAGGAGACTCACCTCGCTCCGAAGCCTATATTCCGATTCAAGAACGCGCTCAAACCTCCAATTTGGAGCCGAACGATCCAAAACTATTCGAATAGGGTAAGAACTAGTCAATACATGCTCAAAAGTTCATATTCTAGTTATTAAACCAATTTTCCGACCCTAAATGCAAGGTTCCTAAAATTCATCCCCGGGCCCACGTGCCCGGATTCCGAAAAGTTTTGAAGAAAATTGTTACCCATAACCTAAGGATCAAGAATATATGATTTTTACTCCATTTCCCTAACAAATTTCGTGGTTAAATCTTGTTTTTACCAAATTCTAGGTTTTTCATCTACAACCCGTGATTTTCCCTAATTTTCACATGTTAATCTACCCATAATCCATGTATTTAACTTATGATGTGTAGAAATTACTTACCTTTTTGATGATGATGGAACCCTTCTCAAATGTCCTCAAAAATCACCTAAGACCAAGTGAAAAATAAGAGAAATGGGCTAAGTCTCGGAATAGAAAGCCATTGCACCAGACGCAGAAGTCACATTTGCGACCCCCGGCCCGCAATTGCGATGGTCGCATTTGCGACAAAGGCACCGCAAATGCGAAGCCCAGCTTCCCCTGCCATGGTCGCATTTGCGACAAAATTCTTCGCAAATGTGAAGAGGACAACATCGCAAAAGCGATGGCCCCCTCGCAAATACGATCTCCCCTCAGCAGCCCCCAAGTTCGCAAATGCGATGTCGCATTTGCGACCAAAACACCGCAAACGCGGTCATACCAATACCAGCAGCATCAAACTTTCTCCAAATTCTATTTTTGATCCGTTAACCATCCGGAATCTACCCGAGGCCCCTGGGACCCCAACCAATCATACCAACCAGTCCCAAAACACATTATGGACTTGCTCGAGGCCTCAAATCATATCGAACAACGCTAAAACCATGAATCGCACTCCAATTCAAGCTTAATGAATTCTAAAATTTCAAACTCCTACTTTCAGTGTTTAAACCTATCAAATCACGTCCGATTGACCTCAAATTTTTGCACATAAGTCATATTTGCCATTACGGACCTACTCCAACTTCCGAAATCGGAATCCGACCCCGATATCAAAAAGTCAACTCTCGGTCAAACTTCCCAAAAACCTTAAAATTTCTATCTTTAGCCAAATGACTCCAAAATGACCTACGGACCTTCAAATTCACTTCTGATCGTGCTCCCAATACCAGAATCACCATACAGAGTTATTCCCAGATTCGGTATCCCAAACGGACATTGATAACCTTGAAATGCACTTCAACCCAAACTTATGATATTCTTCCAAAATGCTAACTTCCACAATAGGCGCCGAAACATTCCCGGGTCATCCAAAACCTGGTCCGAACATATGCCCAAGTCTAAAATCATCATACGAACCTATTAGAACCTTCAAATCTCGATTTCGAGGTCGTTTACTCAAAAATCCGATCTTAGTCAATTCTTTCAACTTAAAGCTTCCGAAATGAAAATTCTCTTTCCAAATCAACTCCGAATTCCCCGGAATTCAAAATTCCGACCATGCGTACAAGTCATTATACCTGAAGTGAAACTTTTCATGGCCTCAAACTACTGAACGACGCGCTAGATCTCAAACGACCGATCGGGTCGTTACATTCTCTCCCACT